AAAAAATATTTAATTCTTGTAAAACAAAATGAAGTATTTCATTTCTGCCAATTATATTTTGACTCAGAATAAATTATGCGTATTGCCACACTTTGCAGGTATGTTCCTCACGTGCACACTTAACTCCAGACTCAATGTCTTGAGTTTTGTAGAACTTGAAATCTTTCCTTTTTGATATATTATCAACTGTTTTCACTGTTAAGTGATATTGTAGAACGAAAAGAGATTACAGAAAAATGAACAAGAAAAGGTAGATGGGTTTTGTGAGACACTGACATTCTGCCTTGAAATTTAGGACCCATTTCCAGGCGCAATCTGCACTTTTCCAACTGTAACCAGTCATAAGAACTAGAACATGTAATGTTTTATTCTAACGAAAGGATTCCGCAACATTCAAGGACACCCATCTGGATAAACATTCATAAATAAAATCTAGTCCAGTGGAAAGTTGAAACCTCCCCATTTTCAAGTCTCACAGAATTCTTTAGCAGAAACATTCTTAACTAATGGTTCAAGGTAAGTGGAAAGCTTCCACATTCATTGCTGAATGGAAGTCCTTGTTTAGGAATGTCCACTTTCGGCCAGTGTCCTGACCTTGTCCCTCTAATTTCAAAATGTGTTGATCAGTTCAACGGCTAGGCAGCACACTCTGAACTGCGTATGACCAGGCATTGGCACGGTGTGTGTTCTATGCCCTCAAGTTAGAACTATAATGACCCTAGTAGGGCTTTCATCGAAGCAACCAACATGACTTTGACCCAACTCCGGGAGGCAGTGGAAGACAGGAGGGCCTGGCGTGCTGTGGTCAATGGGGTCACAAAGAGTCGGACACAACTTAATGACTAAACAACAACAAGGGCTTTCAAAATAAGAGAGATACTTAAGGAGTGGTTTTACCAATTCCATTCCCCCAGGGAGTTTCCACGGCCAAGTGGGGATTTGAACCCTGTTCTCCAGAGTCCTAGTCCATCACTATCCACTACATAAAACAGCAGAGGTATTTCAAGTTAGGAACAACTATTTTTGCTTTTTAATTATTTGCAAATGAGCCCCCTTCCCAGGAACATCTAAAAAAGATGAATCTCCTGGGCACGTGCAACACAGAGATTTTTGACTTCACAAACCTTTGAATTTAAAAAAGGGCATTTTACTAAACTATAGAATGATCAGAACAGGGAGAGAAGGAAGTGTTCTTTCACAGGCCTCCATCAACAAGGGAGCACAAACTCTCCCTCTTTCATCTTTGTGTGGGAACTTCAAAGTCTACAACTAGGGAAATGTTTTACTCAAAAAATTCAGATGAGGCTTGTGGGTGTGTAGAAGTATTTAGTGTCAGAACATTACACTCAATATTCATGTGGGGTGTGTGTGTGTGTGTTGCATCAGTCTTGGGATCAGGCAGGCTGAATGACCCAAGCACAAACAGCTTCCCCAAAAATCCTCTACAAAACCTAAGCATGTCTAGAGCTGGTGTGGGAAACGGTGACATCCACATGGTTTTGGTGTCCAACTCCTGACTCCAACATGGCCAACAGCAAGGGATGAGATACTGTCTGACAATGTGTGGACAGCCACAGGTTTCCAGAATAGCTCAAGAATGTTCGACGCTTGATGCCCGCATTAAGTTGCACCAAGCTGCTGTATCTTACTCCACAGCAGAGACTTCATAAGAAATGGGTAGAAGAAATACCTAATTATGACAGTCTTCTCCCAAGCACACATTTCAACAGCCTCGTTGTGCCACACTGGCTCTCCAGAAGTGGCCAAACTCAGCAAGGAAGCTTCCTCTCAGCTACGCCAGAGGACATGGTCTGCCCGTGGGCCAGACCTTCTCAAGCTATATCTTGTAGTGCTAAACTCTATAATACTGTAATGTTTCAATGCAAGCTATTCTGGCATAAACCCTAACCCTATCCCACATACCTGCCTCATTGAAAATGACCTCAGTATTAACCAAGGTGGAGTTAAATGAATTGGAGTAAATGGAGAAAAATAAAACAAAACCTCCAGAATCCTCCTGTGAAATGCCTTACGTGAAAGGAAAAAAGTTTCAATCACTTTTCATGGTTTGCTGTCATGCACAGGTGTGCAACCAAAGTGAATGATCCAGGTATGTGCACAAACCTGATAGGATACTGGCCAAGGAAATGGATGGAGCAAAGGCCAACAGGAGTTAAGGCCTTGAATTTTGCCTGATCTGCCTAACCCCCCCTCTGTCCTTGTGGGGCCTTTTCCGGGTTCTGCTTTTAAAAGTGTCATTTTCTCTGCATAATATATTTATGAAACTATATCATAAGGATTTGTGACAGGAGTCATCACTTTGTTTTCTACCTTTGATCTGCATTTCTTTTGCTATCATTTCCCTCAATTCCCGAGGCCTGGAATTCTTGGAAAAACCTAGCCCATAAATGTATACCTATTTGGAAAGCAATATGAAGGCTGCCTGCCTTCACATAGAGAGGAACATTTCGAGAAGTTCACTACCTGATGATAACACTCACACTGATTATACTTTTCACTTGCTAGTAAGTAAAACGAGGGATCTCAGAGGGTGGCCCGGGAGGGGCCAAACTGGGCAGGAATCCCTAAACAATCTTGGACCCATCACCGATTCACACCCTGTTTTGTTTGCTTGGCTGCTGTTTCCAACACAGAGTGATTCAGAAGCAAACGTCATCCTACTGGCCCTAAATCCTGTTGCCTAGATGGAGCAACTGACTCACCAAAATGCCACTGACTTACTGTGCTAAGCAAAAGGATTTCAGCCATTGTCTAGCACTTTCCCCTACGTGTTCTAAACACTAATATAATCTTATCAGGCAATTGTGCAATTGCCCTCTGGTGCAGAGGGAGGCTAAAGCTAAGCAAAAAGGCCTTGTCTAAAGCTGTCCTGTGACATGGGTTCAACTGCCATTGGTCTTTCCTACTCAGATGACTACTGTCCTGGCCAATACACCAATGATGGGCATCTCTGGAGGTTCCAGGCATTAATTTTGCATCCACTTTATAGCCCCACGGGCTGCAACCAGCCCATTCTATCAAAATGGGAAGTGGCTGGTTATGATCGAGTTCTTAAAATCAAAATAAAGCATGCGGGGGTGGTGGTGGAATGCAGAAATGCCCCCTTGCTTTATTTAATTGCATTTCTTGGAGTGTGAGTATGTTTTTAGAATCCTTTTCAGAGGCTGTTCGAGAAAAACACGGGGACTCCATGGGTTACCTATCTGCACACTTTGGTAGTATGCTAGCCCCAGATGCACTGACACCCAAATATATGGAGCAAATGTAAACAAAACTTAATTTTACAGGTAGCATCAGACAATCGAGTCCAATCCACTGCCAATGTAGAAAATACATAGCAAAAGCATCCCCAAGAAAGGGTCGCCCGGCTTCCACTTAGAGGCTTTGTTTTGTTACCCTATCATACCAGCTCTGATCCTATGACATTAGTAAATTTAAAAAAATGATACACATGGAGAATTTTTTTTCTGGTATGGAGGTGTGTGGCAAGAGAAAAGTCTCCCTGCTTTCTCTCTGAATGTCAGGCTCTTGTGCAAGGCACAGAAATGGCCACATCAAGAAAAGTAAAATTGCCAATGCTATTAGTGTGCTTTTGTTCTTATTGACACTCAGGTACAGGCAGAAATGCTCTTCTTTACAAGGCCTTTAAAATCTTGGCACTTGAGCAGAAGAGAATCTTTTGTATCGCACACACTCGTATCCTTGAGAAGAAATCATTAATAGCTAGAGAAGAGAGAAAAAGGGAACATGATCATATCTCCTGAGAAATTCACTGAACCATGTTGAGGATAAAACCGGCTGCCAACAGTGTGAAACCAGATCAGGCACCTCATCCTGACCATCTTAAACACACTACTTGTCGTCTGAAAGGCCTCTTGCCCCAGAAAGAGCATGCAGCGGCTCTTGGGATTGGTGCACTTTTCATATTAAGTGCTCTTCCAGCATCCAAACACATTGCCAAGGGTTATGACTCAATTGGCAGGGAAGCCCACTGGTCCAAGTTACTAACAATGGAGGGGATTAAGCAACTTCCACTTTCATTCAGAAAAAACGAGACTTCTGCTCATCTGTCAGCCACATGCCTCCACCCCCACCCCCCCATTCCAAGGAGGGCTACAATCTGGCAAGCATTTTAAACTCTTCAAAAGACAGACCGAAGAGAACAGAAATAGATATTCTGCTGAGGAACACAACACCATGCAAAACTAAATAAACTTAATGAGGCGTTGAAGGAAGAGAGAGACCCTGAAAAAGAATACTAGCTGGATGAATGAGCCGGTGGCTGGGGACGGTGCTCAGCCCGTTTACAACTCTTGCATGCTTCTGGCCCTGATCTCATTCCTTGCTCTCATCTCAGAAAGTGAGGCATGATCCAGTAGGCAGATTCTGGCTGCAGCTGAGGAAGAAAAAACTAGGTGCACATCTTAATTTTTGCAGACTGCAAGGAAGTATTGTGTTCTATACTCTTTCCCATCCCTGGCCAGGACTGCTGGGTGTGTTTGTGTCCTAAACTGGGGGCCAGCTAATTTTCTTTCAATGTGCTGCTGCTCTTTCTGGCTTGTACCCGGTCTTCAGATGTCAAAGACTTTGCACAGAAGCAATACACAGAACTGGTGTATCAATACTGGCACGCACAGAGAAATGTTTTTGACATCTTGAGGGCTTTGGATGCTACGCGGAGAAGTAAAATGAACTATAGTAAATAAATACACACAATCTTCCTTAACTGCTGGACAGACTAAATAACAACAGAAAACGCAGCAACAACTACGAGTGTTTTTTTTGGGGGGGGGGGCTCCAACCAGAAGATGCCTTTTCCTCAAGGACTGTCATCTATCTTCTATGAATCCTCACTAGAGACCCTCCTAAGGAAGCCACTGACTACTGAGGTCAGAATCATTGCCATTGTACACAGAGACACTTTGAAAATTGAAATCAGAAAAACAGAAAGCAGGATAAAAGGCTGTCTTGAGTCATACCTGAGCTCGGATAAGAGATTCAAAACTGGGCTTGAAATAATCAATTCGGCTGCTGTAGAATTTCGGCATCTCTTCCAGAAGTTGCTTGTTCTTAGCCTCGAAGTCCTCTTTCACTGGCCTCAGTTCTTCCCGTGCCTGCAGGGAGAGAGAAAACGTAGGCGATATTACTTTTCCATTTCTCTGCTAATTCCGATGACTATGTTGTCTTTCCCCATCTCAAAACCTAATGGAGCCTGGCAAGAATAAGCCCAACCTGCGAAGAAGCCCTCATAGACTCTTCGAAGCATTTCAAAGGAAGGCACACACTAGCAGACAATATGACTGTGCATTCTCAGGTGAAAGCAGTCTTTTGGAGCCTCTTATTTTGGCCCCAAAATATGAATGAATGAATGAATGAATGAATGAATGAATGAATGAATGAATGAATGAATGAATGAATGAATGAATGAATGAATGAATGAATGAAAATTGAAATCTCCTCCTGTTGAGAATCCATTTCTTTTTTCATGCCCATTCTCCTAAGCTATGTGTTTGTCTGGTTCACCCAATACTGGTACCACTTCCAACATTGGTTAGAGCTTATTTCTTCTCCATAGATTGATCCTAGTTGATCAGTGACCACATAGAAAATATCATATTCCGATGCTAGATTTGGGCACATGCTGACAAATACAAGGGCAAACGACAGTTGATAAGGGGGGGGCTACTACTTCCTGTCCTGATCATAGGAATCATAAAGCCACGAGACCCACAAAAGCTTGTTAGGACAATCCTTCCTTAATACCGGAGAAGAATGTCCCCCCCCCCCAAATTGCCAAAGCATGCTTTTGTATGTGTGCCTTGTGACACTGCTGAAAATCGTGGCCTCTTCACAACGACACAGACACAACCCCACCCTTTTTGACACAGTCCTCAGCATTTCGGTGGAGACAAAAGCCGTTCACTTCTTCACATTCTTAGCTTTAAGCGCGCCTTCTAAGCTGCTTTAGTATTAATCTTGAATTCTCTGTTCTTAATGTTGATATGGTAACTCTTCAACACAATACCCAATTTATAGCATTATAAAAATTTGCATTCTTGAATTGTGACAAAGTAAATCTCTGAGAGGCTCCACACACACACACACCTAGGAAAGACTGTTAACAGCGTTAGAGTCAGAGCTGCTTCATCAGTTGTGTGAGTCTGTTTGACACTGACATAATAGGTTTATTCCAAGAAACACATGAAGTATGAAGTGCACGTATGTTTCCCAAAGAACTTGGGGGCTGACCCCAGCTTCCACTATGTCCACCAAGGGTTTAGTGACGCATGTCTGCTCCTCACATATTAATTGCATAATAAAGCCATATCAAATAAAACTGTTGTTGTTAAGTATGAAGCTCTCCTTTAGTAACACTGCATTTTTAAAAACAATTATTGAAGTATGAAGCTTGATTTCTGCGTAACTCCTTTGGTAACACTGCATTTTTAAAAACAATTATTGACCTCCTGTTAAGAGGCTTAATTATTAAGCCTCTTAACAGGAGGAATCTTTGGCTTTAAAAGGAGAAAGCACTTTCAAAGTCTGGACTTTATGTTCACCTCCCGTATTGCCAGTCAAAGACACAGGAACCATCCCACAAGACATGCTGAAATCCCAAGCGTACACTGTCTATTTCATACACAAAGGTACTGTGGAAATTTGGAAGCCGTTCTGGAGTGTACGTCTATGACTTGCACAACATTTTGTCTACGGATGCATGAATCTGGAGGGCAAGCTTGTTGGTCTGAACAGAGGGCAGGGGTGAGGCATTGTGGAGGTTGTAGCCCAAGATATCCAGCTTCCCGTGGCAACCACAAAAATGTTATAAGGCACCTGGGAAACTGACAGATTCTCCCCGAGAGACCATGTATGCGTGTGTTTCCTCTTTGGCTCAGTACCTGGTGCAGCTTGGTGAGGATGGGACCTGTCTTCTCCTTCTCTTCGTACTTCTCCACCTTTGACTGCAGCCGCTTGTAGTCCTGCAGAGCCTGTTCACGCCGTTTCACTGCCATATTCAGGCTGGGGAAAACACTGCTGAATCTGGAGGAATTTTTAAAAACATGATTAGGGTGCCTTTTGTATGCTCAGCCCGATTACACAATGAGAGCTTAACTAGGCTGGCAACAGAAGCAGGATATGTCGCAAAGGGAAGGCAAGTGACATCTGCTAGTGATTTAACTTTTCTGATTCCAAAGATTTAGCCAGTCCCCTCCTCCCAGCCTTCGACACCCAAACAACCCTGTAAAATGGGCATCCCAACACTTTATACCAATCTGACAATATGAATACCTCTGACTCTCAGTGAAATCAAGACTGTCCAGCCATAAAATGGAATGTCCAATATGCTTTAAATGTGTCAGTCTGGAAAACCCCTGCCACCCTTTTGTCAACTGAACTCAGTCAGTCTTAGACTTTCACAAACGCACAAATGATTCAGTGTAGTACATACATCTATTACACCCCTTTAACATCTCTGCTAAGGGTTAAGTTTTAGCTCCCAATTTCGAGGCCTCCAAACGCTAGCAACAGCCATTGAAAAGGCCCTTTCTCATGTTCCTATAGACAGGCCTTCACCAGATAATTCCTCGGTCACCAGTGTAATTGCCAAACCGAGATACTGCCAAAACAGAAAATTAATCACAAATTGGGGGAAATGCAACTAGCAGTGTGACTGCCTTATTCTTCTACAATCTTTATTATGGCAAACTATCTTTTTTTTAAAAAAAAATAAGTGACTTGGTACCATGTAGTTGCAGCCACAGATTTAGAGGTGTGCTGACAAGGCTCTCAGATGAGAAAATCTGGAAGGAGCCGACAAACATCCAAGGGTTCCACCAGACAGGCATATCGCCCACTGTGAGGGTGGGTTGGTTTGCTCCTTTTTCTGGCGACCACATGATGTAATCAGTAGAGCAAAACAGCCTGTACTCGGAGCATTCCTATCTGCACCTATGTGGGTCCCTGTAGAGGGCTTCTACTTTTTTGGTTGTGGGTGGGGCCGCTCCGTTTTGGTTCATTTCCAACATGTGCAATCCCTGGAAATGAACCAAAGCAAGCCTTCAGCTGTCAAGGCTCCTTCCACTGTTAATCTGCCATATCATGAAAAGCCGTAAGAAGCAATCCATTTCAGGATATTGGCAAATTGAACACTTCCTCTGCTCCTCCATGGAGGTGTGGGGGAAGTAAGAATCTTTTTCAAACTCTATTAGGGAAGCACAAATCTGTTGCCTCACTTATGTATTTTTTTACATTTGAAAATTTTCTCCTCGAAGCAGGAGGAGACAAGAGGGGGCAAGAAGAGGTTTTCCTCCACATTTCTTTGACTTATCTTAAAGGTCCAGACCAGAACCTGCTGGCAGCCCAATCCATCTCCAAGTACATCTGAGCCTTCAAAGTGAAACGCCAAAACTAATTCTGTTTCGAAATTAATTTTTAGCCCTTCCCATAATGAAGGCTTAGAAAAGCACACGTATAAAACATCTAGTTTAAATTCAAGTTTTTCCAGGTACCTCAATTAATAGGCAAGGGAAAATGCTTGCAAAAAACAAAAGGACATTTCTTTGTGAGCTTTGGCAGTCTCCTATTTGAGGTGTCCAATAATTTTACATTTACTAGTTTCAGGCAAAATTAGGCAAGTTGTAAGACGTCTACCTACCCCCCCCCCAAATGGGCCCAACATTTATTTCAAGCAAACAGCCAAATTTCTCTTGTCACGAAACAGACTTTCTATTTCCTAAAATGGCACAATTCAAACACCAATTATGTTTTGTTTTTAAAAACAACCATTAAAAATTGTACTTTTGGGGGCCTGTATACAAAAATACAGGTTGTTGTGATTGAACAAATTTTTATTCAGAACTTTTAATAAACCATCTGCAGATACAGTAGATGTGGAAGTACAATGGAACAATCGAAACTGGAGAAATCAGTCATAACCTGCTGTCTTTGACAGGGACAACATCAATTTCCAGAACACTGAAATGATAATGAAATAATGAAGCAGTGCTCTATCATTTTCCTACATAATATGGACATGCAGCATCTCAGTGTTTTAAAAACTGAAACAATTTGACATGAAATCCACATGGTTTTCTGTGCCAAACATAAAAGCAGCAAAATAAAATGAACCAACCATAGAAGACACAGTAATAATGACAATTTCTCAGGGTTAATTATCTATTGTTGCACTAATGTTCAGGGTGGAAATCTGCATGATTAAAATTCATTCTTTAATGGGGCATCTTTAACCTGATGTCCTAGTCACCTTTGCCTCCCTCTTACTGAATTTTTTTTTCTTGGGTGAAATCTAGAATGTGCCTTTCCGTTTCTCAAGTTGATAATACGAGAGTTTTAGCAAATCTTTCATCCTGCCATGCTGCACATTATGCATGGAATCTGTAGTACAGCAGGGTGAAAGCTTTGCTAATACTCCCAGCTCTAGGGTTTCTCAACAGAGCTGGCTGGAGTACATGAGCTTCGAGTGTACTAAACAGCAAAACAGATTTGTGATATGAAACTGGCAAGGTCAGACGTGACGGCAAAGAACACAAACATATGGTGCCGGAGCCGCGGCAGAGAGATTTTATGCCATGAAATGCACAAATCCTCCCAATGCCTCAAACGGCCGACACCATCCTTGCCTCACCACTGCAAGGTTACACCAACTCTTAGGAACACACAGAGCCATTAAATAGGAGTGAGTCTGTTCGTAAGAAGGATTGCTGCCCAGATCCCTCCATAATCTGTTTGGAAATGTACTTGTATGAATTCTGCAGTTAGACCTTTCAATCAAGAAAATGATTATAGAGACTCCTAGTGCTTCTGTAAAAAACAGATCTAAGTATATGGAAAAGCTGCTCCAGTAGCTGCCCTCTTCCCCCCCCCCACCCGACAGTCTTTATGCCAATATGTACACCATGTTGTGCTCTTAGATATTTCAGATGCTGCTGTGCCATAAAACCTAGTCTATAAAACCTACTCACCTGTAATAGCTGGTACGAAAGACATAACAGCAGGAAAGGTGCTGCGGTATTATTTAAAACACAAGAGCTATTGACATTTGCTTCTATACTTAGATTTCCACATTGTTGAGCAGGACTTAGATTTAAAGGACTAACGACATAATCCAAGCTGTGCCACAGTAAATGCCGTACATTTGTACAGTGCTGTAGATTTTATACAGATGAAAAATAGGTGTCCTGCTGGATTTACATACAGACCTCCTTTCCTTTGCATGCAATGATGTGCAAAGGAAAAGAAACACACATTCTAATGTAGAGTTCATCTGAGATGACAAACTCACTGCTGGGGTGTACTACTTCGATCCACAGGCATCATTCATTGTACAATTCATGCACACACAACCCTTGTCTCATCCACTCTTCTCACTGACATACTAGTTTTCTATATGTTCATAACTGCATTTGTACAGAGCAGCATTTCAGCAGGTGTGCCCCCCACATCTGCTCTTTGAAGGCATACAGCTCCCACAGCACAGATAAAAATAACTCTAATCAGAACTGTGTGATTCCCAGTGTGGCATAGCTGACAGAGGGATGGACTAAGACTCAGGAGGCCTGGGTTCGAATCCCTGCTCAGCCATGGAAACTCACTGGGGGAGTGGAACTGGTAGAACCACTCCTTAAATATCTATCTCACTAACCTTGAAAGCCCTATTAGAGTCTCTATATGTCAGTTCCAACTTGATGATACAGAACACACACACAAAAATCAGAACTGTGGTTTACAAAGAGAAATCAACTTGATTAGCAATTATGTTAATTGAAAAGTTCTTTTGGGAAGTGACACAGAGGTGGCAAACCACGGTCCCAAGCCCTACAGGGAACCATCAACAAGCCCACTAACATAGCAAGATCTTTCACATCCCCAGGAGGCTGGTAAAGCCAACCCAGTGGAGGCAAGGAGCACAAAAGCTCAATTTCTCTTTTATCCAGGCTTACCTACTCTACCATTCTTCTGTTTGCAACGGCCAACCAGAGGCTAATGGGAAGTCCACAAGCAGAGCAGAAGGGCAACCATCTTCTTTCTGCCACTGCTCTTGCTAGTAACTAGCATTGAGAAGCACGTTGCTTCTGATCATGAAGAGACAGCTCCCGGGGCCATTCCAAGGTCTCAGGAAATGTAAAGAGGTGCCACTGGCCTTCTACCATTGCCTTGTTTCATTTTTTTGCAATGTGGGCTGGCTGTATAGTTGCCTTAAAAGCAAGCAATACAAGACAAAAAGAGGGCTGGATCCTTCCCTTCATTAAAAACAACCCCATGAACAGATAATAAACAGACTCATTGCTAAGCAGGCTCTTTCTCTCACACAGCTGGCCACCTCTGTATCAGGTAGTGCAGCAACCATATTGTCTTTGTCTTCGCTTTATTCTTTACCCTATGGTGACATAACAGAGATAGCCACATATATATACCTTTCAAACCTAAGCCATTTACCGGTTTTTTAAAACCACGGTGAGAGGGACTAGACTAAAGGATAGGGTATAAATGCACTGATCGTTTTTGGGGGAAGTGCTCAGTCTCTCTTAGCCAAGTTGTATATTCTGGGGCCAGGCATGAATCTGGTGAAACGGAGCAAATCCATGGATGCTTATGACATAATAATTATTGTTCTCAAAGAAAAAAAGAGAGAGAAAGCAAAACTGTATCTTCAAGACTAATGGTTACATTCCATTGCAAGCTTTTGTGAATCAAAATTTACTTCATCAGATACAATGAAAGCCAAGTCAAGTGTCTGAGGAGGAAGTAGATTTTGATCCCCCAAATCTCTCACTGAAATAAAATGGTTAGTCTTCATATGGTACAATGTTTTGCCTTTCCTTTCCTTACAATTGTTCTCAAAGAAAAAAAGAGAGAGAAAGCAAAACTGTATCTTCAAGACTAATGGTTACATTCCATTGCAAGCTTTTGTGAATCAAAATTTACTTCATCAGATACAATGAAAGCCAAGTCAAGTGTCTGAGGAGGAAGTAGATTTTGATCCCCCAAATCTCTCACTGAAATAAAATGGTTAGTCTTCA